AAATCACCAACGAAGGAAATTAAACTTCAGAGGCCATGATGTTTCATTTTATCAAGTGGCAGAGATTAAAAGCTATTATCAAATCATATTTTTGAGCATATGGGGGTGCTATCACATAAGAGACGAGCTCATTTGCCAAACCATTTCGCAAAAAAAAAGAAAAAAAAAAGATAACTGCCCACAGAGGAAGGGAAATGAGACTTTGAAAAGTAAGTAACAGTGGGCTTTGGGGGATGTGGTGGGGGGAAACTTTGCCCAGTCACAGTCAGGGGAAAAACTTGGGAACCAGGTAAGTACAGAGCCTAGCAACAATAAGCTACCTGGGCCAAGCTTAATGCAAACAGATTGACTTTACCAGCTATAAACAAGGATTTTTCGACATCTGAAGAGCTCCAAACACCTGGATTTACCACTCTCTCTCATTCTCTCTCTCTGAAGGGTACACCAAGGGTGGGGAACCTGCGGCCTTGAGGCCACATATGCCCTTTGTTAAAGGGCTGCACTTGAGGACCTAGAAGGCCACAAGGGGCCTCAAGGCCGCAAGTTTCTCACCCTTGGTATATACAATGGAGGATGCACTTCCTCCACAAAACGTTTTCATAAAATTTTTAGGGCTAGAAGAAGAACTCATTCTGCCCAACCACTTTTATTTCCACCAGTAAGAAGACAGAATTTGAAGTTAACTTGCACAGGGTCACACAGAGAATCAGTGGCAATTCTAAGACTAAAACCCAAATCTATTAACACCCAGGTGGCTTTGTTTTCTACCTGATCCTAATGTTTCCTTCATACCCCAAAATGTAGACTTTCTTAAACCTTTTTGTATCATGACCTCATGTGCAATCCATGGACACCTTCTAAGAATGATGTTTTTAAATGCATAAAATAAAATATGTTACAAAAGAAATCAATAATATTGAATTAAAGATGCAATTTTTCCCCCATACAAATTCATAAACCCCTTCAAATCTATCCACACACCCCTTAAGGGCAATTCCAGGTTAAGAACCTCTACCCTAAAGAAACGAATGCCTTTCAAACTCTCAAAAGACAGTTTTCTGATCAGGGTCCCAACAATTCATAAGACAGACTTATTCTTTATATTTAAAAGTAGTAGGGGTAGATGAAGAAGACTCAGACAAGTGTACACTCAAGGCTTTATGATCTGGGCCCTAAAAACAAGACTGGCTTTTATTTCTCTTTTGGAAGTACTGATAGATTCATAGGATGTGTGGGCTAAAAGGATGCTTAGAAAAATCATTTAGTCCAAACAACCCCTGTGCTAAAATCCCATAGCCAGTAACGGGACTCATGAGGTTAGCACCACATCTCCCGGCTCCCAGAACACTGTCCTTCCTGCCCTGCCACTAGGCCATCTTTATTATGCAATGCCAAGAGCCTTCAAAATTTCAAATATTTAAAACTCTGCCTCAAAAATAACTTGCAAAAAGGGAAAAGCAGAAGTTTGTATACATTTCAGACCAATACATGCATGGAATTAAATTTATGTGGGGAGAGCTAGATCAATGCATCAATCAACAAGCATTTACTAAGCACTTACAGGAAAAAAGGGAACAAGCATTTATTAAGTGCCTACTATAAGGCCTGGCACTGTATTAAGGGTTTTGCAAATCTTATCTCATTCAATCCTCACAACAATAATGGGAGAGTAGGTATTATTACTGCCTCTATTTTACAGATAAGGAAACTGAAGTAAACAGAGATTAAGTGACTTGTCCAGGGTCACCCAGCTAGTATGTACCTGGTGCTGCATTTGAACTCAGGTCTTCTTGACTCTGGTCTGCCTCCTTTATTATCAGAAGCACTGTGCTAAGCAATGAGAAGACATCAAATAATCAGAGTTCTTGCTCTCAAGGAGCTTACATAGCTAAGTATTTTCAAAATACATACAAAATAATTTTGATAGAACAGGCATTGGCAACTGTGGAAAAGAGGCAATCAGGAAAGGTTCTATGTATCCAGGCCACAAAGCACCAAACTCCACTTAAAAACCTAGCTGAAAACTTTGCTGCAGACAAATAAAAAAGGGTGAGCGGGACAGAAATGACTAACTGGTCTCTGAGACAGCATTCAAGGCTTCATTCGAGGTACGAGGCAAGCATACAAGGCTCCATTTTCTGTCATCCAATACACATTTCAAATACCATCTCAATGCCAAATTTCAGTACTATGTAAGGAAGATAGCGAAGTAAAATTCTCTGGATCTAAAAAATCAGTTTACATGAAAAGCAAGTCTTTAACTAGTAAAAAGAGCTATGGGTCACTGGTCTGCTTTTTCTACACTACCCCTCACTGAAATTCTAGCACATCTGGAAATGTCCCCTAGCAGATCCCAAGATAATCAAGAAAAAAGTAAACAAACAAATAAATTAATTAAAAGGGAGAAACCCTCCAAAAGCCTGTGCTTTCTTCTCATGGCATCACATGTTGGCCACAGATATCTAAACCACAAAGCTTCCTGGAAGCCCATCAAAAACACGTCAATACAGGTCAGGATGGATAAGAAGGCAAAAACTCAAAGACGGTGAAGGATTAATCTTTTCTAGTCTTTAAAACAAACACTGGTTCACTGGTAGGTATCTGAACTTGTTCTGAGAAGGGCACCAAGGTAAACATGACTGATGGGGGGGGGGAGAAGGTGGCAGAGTTTAGTTTCTCCTCTCAATGGGGTATGTATTAACACAACGCCAACTACCAATTGCCTTCAATTCCCAAAGCTAATAAATAATGCTCCAAAACCTTCTCATGCTTTGGAATTCATTTTGTTTTCAGCGTCAGAACAGGTCACTTACTGAGTTACTTTTATACACATGTACAATACATCAAATATGTAGACATATACATGTGGTGACCTGCAAGAATATTTCCCAACAGGCTAAAAATCTCTGTGAAAGTTGCTTAATTAATGATATGATGCATCTTTTTTGAATGAGGTGGGGGAAGGGGGGGAGAGCTTTTTCTTAGTGATTCTGATTTTAGATGACTTTTTCTCTTTCTTCCAGGGAACCTGCCCTTAAACAAATCCAGGGCTGCTACTGCTGGAGCTTAAAATGAGTAAGGCCTTTTTGCTAATGAAGTCCACACTTAAATCCTGGTGCAGTTGGCGAAGTCAACAACTGCCCAACTTTCAGGCCTCCAAATACCACAGTGGCTCAGAGCAAAGAAAAGACAGAAGACCAGAATGAGAGTGACCTAGGACAGCAAGCAAACCAAGCCAAAGCACAATCCTCAACAACTGAAGGTAAGGAGAAATGGGAGCCTGTCTCTGTACCACTGTTTGTCCTAGGCAGTGCTAGTCCAATCCTTAAGCCTACATTAAAACAGAGAATTAAAAGAGGGCAGCTAGGTGGCAAGATGGATAGACCACCAGGCCCAGTGTAAGAAAGACCTGAGTTCAAATTTGCCTTCAGAACTTACTAGCTGCGTGACCCCGGGCAAGTCACTTCACCCTATTTGCCTCAGTTTCTTCATCTGTAAAATGATCTGGAAAAGGAAATGGCAAACCACTTCAATATCTTTGCCAAGAAAACCCTAAACAAGGTCACAAAGAGTCAGATGTGACTGAAACAACTCAACAACTCCAAAAAGAAGGGCACGAAAGAAGGAAGGAAGAGGATCACTTATAAATATTCAAATCTGTACACTTTAGATAGGCTTCTTCTGCTGGAGATCAAAGGTTCAGCCCCTCAATGTTCAAATCCTCCTCTATCTCTCTCCTGTTCAGCTTTTCTTAATCTTGAACATGAACTCTGAGTGAGCTGGTTTTATAAATCCAAAAAGCAGATGGAAAACCATTGCTCTTTCCATTTCCCTATGAAGTTTTATTCCACTCAAGGCATGAGTAGTTTCCTCAGCTTCCTGATTCTATTTTAAACCAGAACTCTCTACCAGACAGAAACTAACGCCCAAATTCTGCATAGCAGCTGACCCTATACAATAGCTATCTATCCCCAAGACCAAAATGAAACTTCAAAAGGGGAGTGAGATGGAGGGAAAGCAGAAGGAAGGAAGGAAGGGAGAGAGAGAGGGAGGGAGGGAGGGAGGAAAGAAAGGAGGAAGGGGCAATTTATTGTAAATAGTGATGACATTCAACATCAGATCCCAACTCAGTTTTCCCAGTCAATATTGACACTGCCAGTAGTATACCTATTATTCCTGAGGCCCACATAAATGATGAAAAAACAAGTAACTCTTCTCTGGACAACTTTAAAAAAATCTCACATTTGAGTTGTGAGTTATCTTAGAATACAATTCCGCCAATAGTTTTACACTAAGTAGTCACAAATTGCCAACCACTTATTATACAAATAGTTAAGAAAAGCAATCTATGTAGTTTACCACTGTCTATTTTTGGTTTTATATCAGACGGGCACTCTGAGATCTCCAACCAAGGTCCCTCTAATACCCGTTTAAACCACAGTATTAAGGAGGCTTCCCTCTTTCTCCAGGTTAACAATGCAAAGAAGATACAGACACAGCTCTCTTCTAGATGCACCTTCCAGTGGCCAACTTGCTTAGGTATATGCAAACTTGAGCAGTTAGTGACCGCACGTGGAACCTTCCCTGTACTCTAAAACCCAAGCATCCCTAACCTAAACTAAAACTTTAGGGGAAAGGTCAAGCCTGAAAACTAATAGTAACATACATGTCATCCATATAACGATGGTGAAGAAATACAACAAGCAGTAGTCTCAGCAATGACATCTAAAAACCACGTTAGACTAAATAAACATAAGAATGCCAGTTTTGGGGGGAAAAGAGGAAGAATTCTTTAGGACGTCCAGACAATGAGCTAGATAAAGTCATAGTCGGCCATCCTAAAGACTGTGCTGGTTTTTTCAGCAGGATGAACTTGCACTCCCTTAAAAGGCGATCTTCAAAAGGATTTTTTTTTTAACTTGAGCAGAGAAGATTAAAACAAAATTAGCAGAGGCAGCAATAGAATCATCCGCATCGTCTCCAGACCCTGAAAGGCTTACCTGGCTTCGGTCTTTATCCACTTTCTTAAAACACTTATTCAATGACAAATTATGTCTCACTGAGTTTTTCCACCCCGTGGGTGCATTTGCAAAATACGGAAAGTGTTCCAAGATCCAGTTGTATATATCCTTCACTGGGAGTCGCTTTGTGGGAGAGTCTTCGATGGCCATAAATATGAGGCAGCTAAAAGAATATGGAGGTTTGCAGTTGGGGTTCTGCCTGGCATCACAGGGCACGTCAGAGTGAGCAGGGGACGGCGGGGTGTCGTCGCCAAGGTCCTGAACAGGGCTGACGCTCCTGAGGACCGAATCCCCAAAGCTTTTTAGCAAGTTCTTGCTCTCATGCAACCAGTTCAAGTTAGTGAGCTCTTCGTCTTCCATCGCCCCCTTCTCCGATCGGATGGTGGGCAAGGCAAAGTCGAGGTCATCGTCATCGTGGAGTGCCTTGGGCAAATCGCCGCTTCTGTAACACTGGCTCAGGCCGCTGGAAACGCTGATTCCTGAGCCCTCTGGCTTCTTACTGGGAGGCATGACTGGACCCATTTAGGTGCAGGCTCCTAAGCAAAGTAAATTTGAGAGAGAAGAGATTAGCTGGTAAATTTAAGAAAGTATACAAAACTAACTTCCTTCCTCTCTCCCTTTCCCCTCACCTCTACCCACACACTCCCCTACATGGCTCCATCTCTTTACGCATTGCTCACATTATTCAACACATGAAAAAGCTAATAAATGAGATCCTTTGCAGTCCGGAAGAGGCGCTGATTTTGAATAGGATAGTAACAAGGACACTGATGTGGGAAATAGTAGAATGCTTGTGCTATTACATCACACACAAAAACCATTAATGATGAAGTACAAATAAATGAAAAACTAGAAACTTCACTCAAATCAAAGAATACCAACACTGTTCCTGGGTTTCCAGTGAAACCTCTAGTGACCTCCTCTTCCCACCATATAAGTTATTATTTTTAATGATAAGGTTTCACCATCTCCAGGAGATAGGAAGATAAAGCAACAACGCATATTTCTATCATATCTTAGATTTCACAAAGGAATTTTCTCATGATCCTGTGAGGTGGGGAGTAAAGTATTATTAGCTCCATTTTACAGATCAGAAAACTGAGGTGAAAACAATTTTTCCTATGATCATGTTAAGTTTCAGAACTGGGGCTGAAATCCACTAGTTCTAAAACTAAGTCAAAGAGGGCTCAGTCATGCTGCTTTCCTGTGTTTCTTTGGTATCAATACTTACTTGTGCCTAGGCTCCCCCAAATCCCACAATAAATGTTATTGGGGGAAAGCAAAATAGTATTTAACCAATATACGCATCATATTGTATATACATCACTCTGCTTTCCAATATGTGTACGTATATATGTAATACATACATGGATGTGTGTGCATTATACTTTAAGGCCAGTTGTTTCAGATTAAGTTAGCTGTTCCCATTTTGAACACATCATGACTATATTGTGATTAAACTGCATGGACAGGAGGGTACATCAATTTCTGCATTTTCTTTGGTTTCTCTCCCTCTTTCCCCAGCACTTCTCCTATTCATAAGATACAAAATCTCCAATTTTAAGTATAACTGTATAGTCTGAAGAAAAACGAGGAGGAACCCAATCTGGACTGAAACAAGAGGCAGGTTTATTTATTAAGGCAAGAAGCATGGGAAAGAAAATGGCAGTAACTTCAGACGTGGATAAAAGGCATTCAGAACCCATGAGTTGAAGGTAGATGCCCTGAGAAGGAGAGGGTTCAGAAAGGCTACTAGTGGCTTTAGATGCTAGGAAGACTGATACATGTATCACGACACAATTATATTTCCTTACTTTTATCAGTGACCTAGAACAAGAAGCATATAATAAAATGGCAACTAAAAAATAAATGAGGGAGTGGCAAACAGTACCCAACGGAATGACCTAGACAGATACAAAGTTTGGTTAACTTTCTAAAATCCAACGTGAGTTTTTTAAAACAACCGAAATTATGCAAAAGGGCATTTGGATGCTCTGTTTTACAGTTGAAAGGCAGTTTGATTTTGTGGATGTGGTTACTTTTTTAGTTTGTTGTTTAAAAGGGGGGGGGGACCTCAACCGATACATTTTGGAAAGGAGCTAAGACGCACAAAATGCCAAGGCCTATCAAAACAACCAGCAAGACTGTCTCCAATAGCCCTGACACTCAAAGGATCACGGGATTTGGATCTGGGAGAGACCTTAGCAGTCATAGAGTGCAACCTCACTTTATAAATGAGGAAACCAAGAGAGGGGGAAGTGACTTATTCAAGGTTGTACTTACAAGTGAGTAAATAGCAGAATCAGGATACAAATCGAGGTCCTCTGACTCCCAATCTTGACCTAAGGATATCTCCACTGTAGCAATATGTATCAAGTCTTCACTGATTTTCCAAAGCTAACAGGGATCTCTTCCTCATCTCTTAACCTTTGGGGATTCCTCTTATGAGCTTATTATAATCTAATTTGTATTAGAATCTATCTGTAGACAAGTCTTATCCCTCTACTAGGGCCCTGTCTTATTTACATTTGTATCTCTTCCAGCACATTACATACACTGAGACAGGACTACTGGCTTCACTCGAAGGGAACTCCCTGGATGAGGAAACTCCTTCAAACCAATTTGGGTCCACACCTTTTTTTTGCAACTCTAGTCTCGGAGCTGCCTAAAGCAAGGAGCATTTCAGTGACTTGACCAAGGCCACACAAAAGCCTATACAGGAGTGAAATGAAGAGCATGGTAAGTGGTTAATAAATGTTTACTAACTGACCACAAACCTCTTCTTAATTACTAAGTCCTGCTCTCAAAGCACTAGAACACATTGCCTACCCACCCTTGAGACAGACATAGACAGACAGACACAGACCCAGACAGACACACAGACACACACACACGAAGAGGAAGAGAATAATCATTTATAGAGCACCTATAAAGTGCCAGGCACTGTGCTTAGTGCTTTACAAGTAATATTTCATTTAATGCTTAGAATACCCTTGAGAGGAAGGTGCTATTACTAGCCCCTTTCACAGTTGAAGAAACTGAAGCACACTGGTTACTTGACTTGCCCAGGGTCCCAAGGCTAGTTAAGTGTCTGAGGATACATTTGACCTCAGGTCTTCCTGACTCCAGGTCCAATATTCTATCCACTGCACCATCTAGCTGCTTCCACATAGAGCAGGGGCTTAATAACCATTATTTTGAATGAATGAAAAAAAAAATAGTTGTGCGAGTATTTTTTCTACTCCAAAAAGTTACACCAGCTAAACCTGACCTATCAGTGTGATCTTGGACATATTCCTTCTTTGTCTCAGCTTCCTCATTGGGGGGAGGCAAAGTGGTACCTGAAATGACCTCTACTCTCCCATGCAACTTCAAAAGGATAAGAAAGCTATGAGTTTCATCTGCTATTTGGAAAGGAAATACACAACACCAGTGTGAAGTTTCCCAAATCAGAAGACAAGAATGAAATTTTGCCTACAAATGTACATTTTATTCCTGCCAAACAGGAACAACTACAGTGGGCAAGGGGGAGGAGTTCTACTATAACCTAAAAATTTTTTTCTTTATAATTAGATCAAATCTGGGCGTCTTTCTCATAGGTCTTTCTCATAGTCACTCTATGACTGCTAAGGTCTTTCCCAGATCCAAATATGCCAAAGGAATATGCCCATCTGAATTTCTAGTGAACAAATGTAACTTCCTATTCCTCAAAGGGGAACAAGCTAGAGCAGCTATTCCAGCTCAAGTCAACTTGAGCTCCAAATGAAAGTTTTATGTCTCATGAGCTTCTAAACAGGAAAATTATATCATGGCTGACAGTAAAGTAATTTAATTGCACTGTTGCTATGACAACATGCTGCTCTCTTTCTGTTTAATTTGCTTATTTGTCAGTAGCTTCCCAAAGGAATGAACAAGCTATTCTCCATGTTTTCTTTTGTTTTAAACAAACATTTTCAGAGGCCGGCAATAATTGTTTCTTTCTTTAAATGATACTTCAAAAATAAGTTTAGAAAAATAAAGAGTAAGGGAGCAGGGTCCAATAATCTTGTATTTCTTTACTTTGCCTATATTCCGACAGCCTTCGTTTTAGCTCCCCCTAACCACACACCCCAACTACATACCTACAAATCATGCATTTTATAGCAACAGTGTGCAAGGCTCTTGACCTCTAAGTTTGGTTTAAAACACATTTTCCAGAAACCACTGCTGAGAATTTTTCCATTATTCTACTCTAACGACAGCACTAGCCAAATCTTTTCCCCTCCCTAGTCTAGAGAAAAAGAAAAAAAAAACCTGAGTATGCAGTTAAGCAAACATTTTTTAATCTGCTGCCAATTAGACTGTTCCACAAGATAAGTCAATAGTTATTCAGTGGTGACCTCCTTAAAACTTTCTTTTTGGAATTACTTATATCACAACCCCCCCCTTGTTTTTCATGCCTTGCTTTTTTTTTAAAGCGATAAACTGCTTTGGAAAACCTTGTTTCTTGCTCACTTTTAAAAAAAATTTCACAATAACTGGCAGACACATTAAAATGTTGAGCCTTCAACAGGTGTTCCCTGTGGGTTTTAAAAAAGGGGAGAATGGGGGTGGTGACAGATATTTCAATAGTAAAGCTAAAGGAGTCCGAGGGTTTGTGGGGCCAGGGGCAACTCATCTCCCCCCACCCCAGCTCCTGCGCGCGCACACACTGGGCTCCCTTCTACTGTACTTGTCAAAAACATTTGAAGGGGAACAGTGAAGGCAGCGATTGGCTGGGTTTAGAGTCAATCAGTCCTGTTGCTAGGATACGGGGAAACTGCTCTTATTCCCCACACACAGGGCAGTTGCGAGCTCACATACCTTTACTGCTGGTCAGATGTCATAAACGTTTTATTGGCTTTACGGGTTGCATGTCATAAAAATAAATACAGCCCCCAACTTATCATGCACCCTAAGAATCATGATAGAGAAGGGGGTACGTGGGCCTGAGTGGCTGGGTAATGTTTCAGGGGACTTAACTCCCCTCTACCCCGTGCCAAGGCTGGACAGTTTAAAAAAAAGAGAGAGAAAGAAAAGAAAGCAAAAATCTTTGTTTGGCACATCTCCTTATCTCGGGGTCTGTCTCTACTCCTATGCCCCCCAGACCCCAAAGTAAGTGACCTAGTCCTCTTCACACAATGCCAACTCTAGTCTGTTTCAGAAAGGGTCTCTTTCTTTTTCTTTTCTTTTTTTCTTTCTTTCCTCTTTTTTTTTTTTCGGAAATCGAAGCAATAGGAAAACATCCTGTACGTCGGGTCAGGAAACTCTCTAGACCAACCAACTTAGCTGCATTGGGGTTCTCTTCCTCTGCCCACTTGGGCCAACCCAGCCGCATTCCGCACCCCAGAGCAAACATCCTTCCTCACCGCACCCAGATGCCCAGCTGCAGAGGGGTGAGGACCACCTTCAGAAATTAAAACCTACGAGCTGGTCCTTCACCATCTCCTGCCCATTCCGCTGGGCCCCAGCCTCACTTTCCCTCCCCCCCAACCTCCCCCGATCTACCTCCCACCCT